CAAAGACTCCCTTGAGTTCTCCAGCTTGCGCGTGCTGCTTCCAGTGCACACCTGAGGAGCATCAGGGAAACGGGTGCTGCATGAACTCAGAGTAAGGCTTTGCTGTGGCTCTTGTAGTGTGAGTGTCGATTCCTGACAATGAAGCAGAGTGTTTCCTGGTATAATCAGGTATGTGAGGAGATGCTGAGAGTTACGTTTCCTTCTCTCTCTTTGCTTCGTCAAAAAATAGCTCACATTTGCTAAACTTTTAAAATATATTCAGCAATGTGCTAAGCATTTTTCATGCATAATCACATTTAATCCTGGCAGCCGTCCTCAGAGGCATGGAGTGAGCTGCCGGCACTGCACAGAGGAGGAGCAGGCTGCCCTCCGCCACATGCAGGGAAGGCAGAAGCATTCTGATTTGGAACTCAGCACTTTCTGGCTTCAGAGGCCTTGCTCTCGAACACCACAGTATGCCCAAAGGATCCGGGTCATTCGACTTTATCTGGTATCAGACAAATACACTTGTTGGAAGCGTATTTAGAGATTTCAAGTTATATGAAAAACATGTTTCGGGTCTCAACATAGAATCTCTACAACTGCACCCAGCCTCATTTGGAGAAAATGTTCGGAATTCCTATTTGAGATCTTTTATGAATGCGGCACTTGAGCCAAACTCTGTTGAGGTTGACACCCATTACCTTCTGTTGTCACTGAGCCACTCCTGATTGTGGCCAGGCCTGCCACACACACACACACACACACACACACACACACACGCATGCATGCACACACACGCACTCACACACACATGTGCATGCATACACAATCTTATCAAATACTTGGTACTAAAGCACTTGCTATCGTTATCTCTATATTTTGGAAAATAAAAGCATTTGAGACTTCCCGTCTCTGATTCTAGCTAAAGACTGCAAGGTCCTTGAATTTTAAGTGGATTTCAAAAACTCATTTTAGTACTGCTGCCTTGCAAAATTGGATCTTCCGCTGTGTGCTGGGCAGTGGCCCGCAGTGAGGAGCCAAGAAGCGGGATGAGCTTGGCACAGCAGCATGCTGGCCGGGGCCAAGGCTGGGTGGGTTCTGCTTCTACTTGGGACGGCCTTGAGTGCATTTGGTTCCTGTTTTCAAAGCATCCAAATGAGAGTGAATAGTAAATAGCAAAGGGAAAGTGAGTCGGGGTGCAGGCAGAGCTGGTTTTCTATGCGCGTGTCTGCCAGTACCTGTGTAAGGAACTTTCTAGACCGGCTGACCTGAAGGACCCAGATTGTGCTATCACTGCTTGAGTGTTCTTCACAGCTTTTTCTTGCAGGGTGTCGCTATGATTTGGGACTTAATTCTAAGAGTACATTAATAAGGTTCTGCAGGTCCAAGACAATCCCTAGTGGGCGGGCTGCAAAGCACAGCCTGGACTCCCTGCCTGCCCCTCTCCTGTCAGCCAGAAGTGGAAACCAGGCCTTTGCTCATTCTTCCTTGAGCATAGACAAAGAGGAAGGAACATGATGGTCATCTGTGGAGAATCTTGGGCAGGCTGGCCTTTCTCAGGATCAGGGATGAGGCAAACTAGTCTACCTTTGCCATGGAAAGCACCCCAAAATCTAAGTAGAGAGCAGAGATCAGAAATAAGGGGTCCCAGGTCTTCTGTGAGCAACAGGCTTATTTGTTTGCCCTCGGAGAGGTGGCCAGCACCTTACTTAAAATTTAAATTCGCTGTCAATTTTTTAAAATCAGAACATCTAACATTAATAAAATAGAAACATTTAGCTTTGCTCGGAGAGGCAGGTCTTCTGCCTGCATGTGAGTGATGAACTGCGGCCGAGTAGGTGCTGCATCCGGAACCAAGACTTGGCCCGGTGTGCTGGTGGGGCTGGCCCTCGCTGCCCTTCAGCCAGCTGGCATGGCCACGCCCCAGCCAGCCCTGGTCACCCAGCTCGGCTCACACTGCGCGTTGCTCCCCAGTACCTCAGCGGCTGGAGTTGACAAGACTGGCTGTCAGAGGCCTTCTGTTTCATAGGAAGGCATTCAGGCCTTGAGGATGTTGCTCAAATATGTCAGTGGTTCTGACCCTGGAGAAACTAGTGAGACCTAAGCTTTGGCCGTGCCTGGCTGCTTGCTTCCTGTCCATTGGGTTTCCAGACAAGTCCATGTAAAGTCTGTGCATGAAGTGTGTGTGACAGGCATCACGGCTGAAAGTCAAGTCCCAGGCAGATGACACAGAGGAGGAGACCTGGGAACACCTGGGGCAGAGCTGGGCAGGAGCCATACCAAGGGGATCCGAGGGGAAAAGGTGCAGGGGCTGGAGCTCCTGGGAGGCACGAGGGCTGCTGAAGCAGGGGATGGGCAGCCCCAGCTGTACCAGCATCCTGGTCACCAGGGCAGAGACCAAGCTCACGTAGGAACGCTCCAGGAGGAGAAACGCGCCACGCGTGAGGAATTTGTTTCTCATCAACATAGATTTGTTTTTAAAATTAGCATCATGTTTATAAGTCAGTGTGTATAATAGCTATCTATACAAACTTGTACAACCCCTTCCTAGATAGCAGGCCCTCTCAGAATAGAAATCCTCTGTCTCATTCAATGCTGTAATCCTAGCACCCAAACGATACCTATTATATCATGTGTGCAAATAATTATTGAATGAATTAATCAATTAATTGAAGATAAATGGAAGTAACTTAAACAGCTTTCTTTGGGATGGAACAATTTTTTTATTTTTTAAAGAGAATAAAACATAGTAAAAAATTCATTTGAAATGATACAGAAATTCACTAAACAAAATAATATAAATTCAATAATGATTATATTGCATATTGTTGTCTTCACATAAATTGCTCAGCTTACTAGATATAAGCATGCGAAATATAAAAAAAGAAAAAAAAATTAAGCATTAACTCTTCAATAGACCCGTAGAAATCAGGTGTACAGTTATCCTCTATAAATACGTACATATTTTCCCCCTTCCTTCTTTCTTTCTTTTCTCCTTTCCCTCATTCCAGCTGTTCCTTCCCTTTGAACAGTTTATTTTCCTCTCACAGTATCTATTACACCTTCCAGATTTAATTTACTCTTTCTGGTCCTCACATTAGGGAGACAGTACGATGTGTACACCCGCGGGGCTGATTTCACTTATGAGTATGGTCTCTAGTTGCATCCATTTACCTAAACAAGCCTCGAGTTTATCCTTATAAAGACTCAGTCATAAAGTTGTGTTCATTTAAACTATGGTCTTTAACTGCCTCTGTTTGTCATCCCTCCATGGTGGCCGTGTGCGGTACGCAGGGTAGCTGTTGCATCAGATCGATCTATGTGATCTGTGTAATAATGCGTGTGGCTCGAGGTTACTGAGATTTTTCCACTTTAGTCTCTAAGAGTTCAGACTCAGCTGTAGTTTTTCTGAAGGATCAGATTGCTGGAGGGCGGTCTCCGTGGCTGGAGCCAGACTGCGTAGTTTCCACTCTGCCGCTGCCAGGACCTTCTTAGGGGCTGCTTGAGAAGTGGGTCCACTGTGGGGGCTAGCGGGAGACTTCACAAATTATAACACATGCTTTATAAGTTTTATGGAAGTCATAAAGAAATGCTTTTGTGTCGCAACACAAATAGAACTAGTACCTGATGTAAAACTAGTTCAGTTCTCTCTGCTTCCTTAAATCCATTCCTTCTCTTAAAAATGCTCATTGGCAATTTTTTTTATATAACATTTAAAACTTTTTCTATGTAGTTGTAGCACAATCTTATATATTTATGAAAGCAGGATTCTTTAGAAACATAAATTGGATTATACTGTAGGTAATGCTGAATGATTTTTCAAAAAGTGGCAGAGCGTTGCATGTTGGAGAAGTGTGTCTCAACACATACATATTTCTGTAATCTTTTAATTACAGCATGGCATTCTTCCATATGTGTGCATCTTAGATTATTTAAGTGTTCTGTAATCCAAGGACAGTTCCCTTGTTTGCAATTTTGCACTGATATAAGGAACACTCACAAGAACACTTTTGCCCTTCCTCGGTGCAAAAATATACAAGTCTTTCTGTAGAAAACATGCCCTGAATTACAATGGCTGCTGTAAAATATGCGCATGTAAAATTCTGATAGCTACTTCAAATTTGTTCTCCCAAAAACCTAAACCAATTTTCTGCTGGTAGGACAGGGGATTAACTCTTTCAACACTGCCTTGCCTAGACTAGCTATCACTGTGTTTTTGCAATGCTTTTGAGTTTTGTGTACAAGAAAGTAAAAAGCTATTGTATTTCTAAGTAAATTGTCAATTTTCAATTAACATGGTGGAACAGGTATTTTCCATCAAGTATTGATATGTTAAACTTTAAATCCCTACAGATTGTGAAGGGAAAAAATTAAAAAATTTAAAAAATATTTAAAAAATAGGAATAAACAATTACATATTTTTACACAGAAATTTAGAAATCTAACCATATACATTATTGTAGCAGGACAGTCCTATGACATTTTTTTCTTGTGTCTTGTTTTCATTTATTACTCTTTTTTTTAAACAAACATTTACTTGAGAAACAGTATAGCAGTAATTGATATGACATTATGGATAACCCACTATTATGGACTACTGGACTATATTGGATTATTTTGCTGAATTCACACACCTACAATATTTAAATGGCAATGGAATACCCATCTCTGACAAAACTAAACAAAAAGGGGGATACAAATGAAGGACCATTTTGTATCTGTATATACAAAATAGGATAGATATACAGCTACTTTCTCTTAATTAAATGAGAAGAAAGATTTGTACTGATAGTGTTTGGACAGGATATCATATCTGTGTCTTGTACTATGAATAACTACTACGAAGACAACAGTATGCAGTGTATTAATGATTGAAACTATCCTACTAATCGATTTAGAAACTGTCTCATTGCTATTTGTATCTCAAAATTAAAAAAAAAAAGAACATGGTGTCTTGGCTGAAGGGCCTTGGTCTCCCACTGCCTGTGCCTAACTGCCACTCTGTCCTCTTTTCTCAGATGCTCACTACCTGACCTGCAGGATCCAGGAGTGTGCCGAGACAACTCGCAGCGGCCCCTTTGCCCGCTCCATCGACGTCAGCTCTTTGGTTGTCCAGGACGAGTACATCTTCATTCAGGTCAGTGCACAGAGTGCAGGCAATGGGAGGCAGAGGAAGAGGAGTGTTGCCCTCTGGGGAAGCAAGGAAGGCTGTCCCCAGGCTGTGAGGATGCTCCTTTCTTTTGCAACGGGAAAGGCCAGCCTCCCACTGCAGGTGGAAGGTACTGTGGGCTGGTGTACCTTCAGGGTACTCAGTGGCCTTGGAGGCATCCATCTGATTGAAGCGGTGTACACAAGTAGGCCTGGGGCTGGGGTTTGGGGCTATTCACAGGTAGGTGTCGTGTAATTGTTGGTTTCAACCAATTTATGAAAGCCATGCTCCATTTCAGTCCAAAGTGGCTTGTCTAACTTGGAAATGAAAATCCCATTAAATTAACAATGTCTAGGGTTTTTGTTCTGGAAAAGTGAGGAACTCAGGAGATCTTCCCCTCTTTCTGGTACTGGCTCCACACTCCAGTGTCCAAGTTGCAAGTCCTTTCCTTCCAGAACTCTGACTCTTAGAGCAAAAGAGGTGGAACTTACATTTTTAGGCTGGTAAAGGGTATGTCCTTTGAGGTTTTGAGTTTCGTGGCTTCTGGTAGGTACTGGGGGGAGGCACAAAACAGCAAAAATCAGGGAAAAAGAAAAGGAAACTTGGACAAGGGGCTGCCACCACACATATGTGTGCATGCGTGTGCACACGTGACAAATCTGCTTGGCATTGATGAAACTCTGGGCTGTCTCCACTCTGCTTTTCCACCAATCTGCTCTGGGCTGTTTTGCAAAGTGTTCCTGCAGGACAATTGAACCTGGACACCTCTAAGTGTGCAGACCCAAGGACATGCTTGGCCTTGGACTGATCCCCGGCCTTTTGGGGGACTCGATCCCACATCCTCCATGGGGTGGTAGATCAGCCTCCCAGCTCTGAGTCCATCCCTTCCTGTGCTGCTTTCGCATCTACCTGTTGCTCCAGCAAACGGGCCACTGGGAGCCATGGCCTGCTGAGCTGGAGGAGAGCTGTGTCTGTTCCAAAGTCCACTGCACGTGGTCTGAGGGCAGCGACATAGCTTGTGCTTACTTTCTGCTCCGTCATGTTTAATCTTAGCGTGGCAGCTTGCACATCAGGGTGTTCAGCAAACGCTTTCACGTCTGTGAGTTTGGGTGTGGGGTCTAGCAGTTTTAGTTACTTCTTTCTACAACTCAGTTGCATAGAATTTTGTTTTCTTTTTCACAGTACTGGGGACTGAACCCAGAGCCTTCTCCCTGAGCTACATCCCCTGCCCATTTTCACCACCTTCATCACCACCATCACCAGCACCATCATCATAATCATTGTTCTTTGTGACGGGGTGTCACTAAACCAGTGGATTACCCGGGGTGGGCTTGAGATTAGGATCGTCTTGCCTCCACCTTCTGGGGTGTTGGGATTACTGGGGTGTGCCACTGTGCCTGATATTTACGTGGATTTTTGAAGTCAAGGAAAATACAGGAAAAGTAGCCAGCTGCTCAATAACCAACTTGCAAGATGAAGTAGAAGAGAGAAGTGTCTGAAATTTTAAAAAGTTTCATTTCAGTTTGATTGTTTTTAAAGAGCAGAACATATTTATTGGGGGAAAGGAAGCACCTGTCCTAGAGAGAGACAGAAGGGGGAGCAGAGCAGGTCGCCCGCATTTCAGTTTGATTTACAGCCAGGAGCTCAGGGTTGCTTCTCCAAGCTGCGGCAGGTCACTGTCACTCTCATGGCTCCGTTCATGGGTATTTATTTATGGAACACGCGTGCTGCTAAGACGATGAAGCTAGTCCCTGCTCTTGGTGCCTCCGAGGTCGCTGTCCTCGTCCTGCTTCTCTCGGCACCCAGACTCAGCACCTTAGCTGTCCCTTGGCTGCCAGCATCATCTCCAAGTTCTGAGAACTCTCGGGTCAGGCAGCTGTCACCTCCCCCATGTCCTGAGGACACATGACTCTGGTGCTATCTGCACGTTCCAGGGTGCATGTCCCACTGGACAACACAGGAGCAGCAGGCTCCTCTCGGCCCTCCACGGGAAGGGGCGGGTCAGTCTGGGCCTCCAGGCTGGATGAGTCCAGCGGCTGCGAAGTCCCCTGTTTCTCAGGTGATTCTTTCTCGTACAGTCCCCTCCCCTTAGAGTCCCCGCCCACTGCTCTTTTGTCTTTGTCTTTACTGAAGTGTTTTCACAAGCAGAAGCTCACCGATGATTTATGAATTCACCAGTCTGTTGCCCTTTCCTTAATGCTAATGTTGTACAGAATGATGAACCACAGCCGAGCTGTCTCTGGAAAACGCGACTTCGCACTCAAAATGATCCCACTCTGTCCTTGCACGGCATCAGGTTTTCTGTAACTCTGCAGGTGGATAACCAGATTTTTAAAGTTCTCCTGAAACATTTCTTTTCATGATAGTGGAAGAAGTATTTTTTTTTAAAAAAATCAGCAACATTTCGTTTCATTTGAAAGAGCCGTGAAGAGTCACCATTGCAGTTTCATTCATGGCCTAGGCCACCGTTCTGCATGCTGGGGTTAAGGTAATGAACACAGGGAAGTTCCTGCCTTACTGGCACTAGTTCAAGGAGGTGAAAGGGAAGAGATATGTACTAAAATACACATCCCATGGCCACGAAGAATGTGGAAAGTCTCACAGCCAGTATTTTCTCAGGCTGGTTTGCCACATTTAGATGTGTGACCTTGAGCTTTGCTTGATTTGAACTTAAAATTATAT